AATTATTAAGAAAATATCAATATAATTATTACCTTAATGAATTTAAATTTGATAATACTAAATTTTTACCTAAGTTAAACAATATATTATCTAAATTATATAATAAAAGTATAGAATTTAATATAATAAACTTAAAATCTATTACTCTAAATACCGATATACTTACTGAAGTTTTAGCTTTAAAAATAAGAAAAAGAAGATCAAATATTTTAGGTGTTCTAAATAGTGCATTAAAAAGAGCTATATTACCAAAAGTAAATAGAATAGTAGAAAAAGGTAGTATACTAAAAACCAAAAATCCTTTATTAATAGAAAATAAATACAAAAATTTGAGTTTAATATCTATAATAAATAAAGGTAATTCTAATACTTTAGAAAAGGTATTAAAAAAAACAACTGATTATACAGCAAAATCTCTTATATTAAAAAATAGATTAGATAGTATATTAAATAAAGATTATACTAATATATCAAATATAATTTTTAATTCTATTAAATATAAAAATATACGAGGTCTAAGATTAGAAGTTAAAGATAGATTAACTAAACGTTATAGAGCTGATCGTGCTATATTCAAATTAAATTGAAAAGGTGGATTAAAAAATATAGACTCCTCTTATAAAGGGTTATCTATAGTAACTTATAGAGGTTATTATAAACCTAATATAAGTTATTCAGTATCTAATTCAAAACGTCGTATTAGAGTATTTACAGTAAAAGGTTAAGTAAGTGGAAAATAAAAATATTATTTTATAGTATAGTATAAATAAAAATAAAGATATAATCTGGACCATTTTATAAAAAATAGAAATAAATATTATAATAATATATAGAACAGGCTAATTTGCGTAAGAGTATATAAAATGAGTACGCGGTTTAGCACCTCGATATCGGCTTAACTTATCCTTATAGATGCAGAAACTATATAGGGTACGATTATTCGTCGATTAAAAAGTTACACGAGCTGGGTTAAATACGTCGTGAGACAGTATGGTTTCTATCTTCTAGAGGGAGTTGGAATAGAATAAGGATTAACCTTTGTACGAAAGGAATAGGAAAAACTTAACTCTAAAAAGTTAAGTATTATTAATTATTAATCTATGGTTTACCTGTTATTTATATACCTAATATTAAAAATTTATAAATTTTTATAAAGGGATATTACTCTTACTTAGGTAAGTAAATAGTATAAGTATAGCAGGAAAGCTAAGTTAGTTAAAGATAAGTGCTAAAAGTATATAGGCACGAAGCTTACCTTAATATATTTCTAAATTGTAATCGTAATATAATATTACGGTATATATTAAAAATATAATGTTTGCGATAGGCTTTATTTATAAAGGTCGAGAGATCCTTAGATAATAAGTACTAATTTTAAAAATAACTATTTATTAATATGTCTTACATTTTTTTTAATAGCCTGGTTAGCATAAAAGTAATGTAATTGTTTTATAATTAATAGAAGCAAGTACGATACTTATACTAGGCTTTTTAGAATTAGTAGTTAAGTGGTTAAGATATAGCTCTTTTAATGCTATATACGCGGGTTTAAACCCCGCCTAGTCTGATTTAAATTTATTATAGGTTAATATAATAGTAATATACTTAGCTTATAACTAAGATTTAAAGGTGTAAATCCTGTATCCGTATATAGAGGCTATAGCTTAATTAGTAAAGTATACTGCTTATAATAGTAATTATAAGTATTTAACTCACTTTAGCCTTAAATATAATCCGAGTGCTGGAATAGGTAAACAGGGTATTCTTAAATAATACTGATGAAATTTCGTAAACGTTCAAGTCGTTTTTCGGATATATTAGGGGGATTAGTATAATTTAGTAATACGATAACGTTATATACTATAATCCTGGGTTCGAATCCTAGATCCTCTATTTTTTAATAATTTTTAGCTTATGAAGCTTAATTGGTTAAGCAAAATATTAAAGCTATTTAGGTTATAAGTTCGAGTCTTACCGCGAGTATAAAGTGATGATGGAAATGGTAGATAAGAATAGTTTAGGCCTGTTTGATTAAAAAGAATTATATCCGTTTAAGTCGGATTCACTTTAATTATGTTATAGACTAATAGGTAAGTTATAAATTTTTAATATTTACCGATAAGTGTTCGAATCACTTTAATATAAGGTGGATATAGTTTAATTGGTAGATCGACTATTTATAGTGTAGTGTGTTCCCTATTCGAATCAGGGTATTCACCCTATAAACCCGGATAGTTTAAGTAGTTAAAACTTTAATTTCATGCGTTAAAAATAAGAATTCGAATTTCTCTCCTGTTTTAAAATAATAGTATTTTCAATATTATTTATATTACTTTCTAATGCCGTCACTTTAAGACGAGACGTATCAATACTTTTCAATAGAGTAGCTATTATAGCTTTAATTTATTATATTTTATAAGATATATTAAGTTTATCTATTATAAGTAAAGGTATAGGGTTATATAGAGGTCTACTTTATATAACTAATATTATATAAATATTTCATATATTTTTTTTATTAGTATATTAATTTTACAATTAACAAGTTTTCACCTAAGAAAAGTTTGAATACCTGAATATTCATCTTTAATTGATTTAGTAAATTCTAAATTAGTTTACTATAGAACTTTAATAATTAATAAAATAGGAGAACATTTAAAAATTATAGAATATCCTTTAATCTTATTATTTATTAACTTAGGTGCAGTTTTTTTAATATTAACTAATGATTTAATATCTATATTTCTTT